CCTGCCTCACCAACGCCACCAGCTTCAACCCCCCCTGTCTCCCCACCATACCTTCCACTCTCACCCCCACGTTCGTCGCCACCTCCTTCTTCCCCACCTCCACAACCAGCTAAAGCTGAAGGGCCTCCTCCTTTCAGCATCTCATCCAACCCTAACCAGGAATCTCAGGGGACAGTTAGTACTTCGGAAAGCCCAACGTTCAACAATGCTTTTGGACCAGCCGCAGGGGCTCCTCTCCCGGCAGTGGCATCTGTGCCATCCATCCCTTCACTGAATCAAATTCAGGCCACCAGAACTCCCTCAGATGCACCTCAGACATACTCACCCACAGAGTCACCACCATATGCAACTCCGTCTCTGCCTGCCAAGAATGCGTACCTCATCCCTCCTCTCTTCACCATCATGTCACGAACAACACCTTCGCCCCCATCCCCTCCTTGCGAGGCTGGTAAATGCCAGGTTCTGTCTTTGTCCTCTCCTCCGCAGGAAGAAGCTACACCATCACCAATCAAACAAGAGGTGAAGTTCACTCCCAAATCCCCACCGCCCTTTGTCATCATGTCTATGCCTAGTTCACCCCCCTGTCCAGGTTGTAACGAATCTGTTGCGGGGGGTGCTTACCCAACTCCTCCTCCAGCAGCGCAAGGTGATCACTCACCCCCACCAGTCATCCTCCAATCCATGTTTTCGACCCCACCTGCTACACCACCTGGGGAAGAGATCTGTGTTGGCGAAGGTTGCCCCCCTTCTACAGAACTCTCCTCACCACCATTGTTGTCATCAGCACCTTCCACGAGTCCAGGACCTTTTAAATCTTCATCTCCGATGTCCCCTGCTATCATCATTGTCATAGGAACCCCCCCTCTATCCTCTTCAAATTTAACAGTATCACAGTCCGCACCGCCGTCTCCAGGTTCGGGCACCACACAGGTCCCTCCCGCATCTTCATTTGAGGAGTGTCCCAACCCACCATGCCCTCCAAAAAAGTCGTGGAAGAATCCTTCCGAAAACCCCTTTGTGATCACATATAGCGACTCTCCCTCTCCTCCAGATAGTGTTGCTTCATTGACATCCTGTGAAACCCCACCTTGCACACTAATTCTCGAAGCACCCCCTCCACCGAGTGTTGTTCTGCTTGAAACACCTCCTAGCATGACAAGCTTTTCGCCAACAATCCCTTATCCTCCAAATGCTCCTCCTCCTCCTCTGGTTGAAACACCTCCTTCCCCTCTGGAGCCTTCCTTGCTGTCAATAGCATCAGTTCCTACCAACGGCACTCCCCCAGCGCCCCAGGTTCCACTATCCGAGAGTGTGTGGTCCCAACAACTACCACTGCAATCCCTCACGCCTCCGCCTTCTTCTGCCAGCCCTGCAGTACCTTCAACACCAGAACTGGAGGCCTATCTGGAGGGGTCTGTGCCATCGCCCAATGACGGAAAGCAGCAGACTCCCCAACGTCCTACCGCCTTTGTCAGCAGCTTACCTGATTCTCCACCTCCAGCAATTTCGCGGCAGTCTTGCTCTTTTCCTCCTTGTGGCCCTGCCACAAAGGCCACAGGGGATCCTCACTTCATCGGACGACATGGCGAGCAGTTTGATTTCAACGGTCATCCCGGTCACTCCTACTGCATTGTCACGGACAAAGACGTGCAAGTCAACATGCAGGTGTTTGGTGGGCAACGGAAGGGAACCACGGTAAGTTTATCACAGCTTTATACCACTGACATCACAAATTTGCCATGTGAAGCACCATAACATCTCCACCCCTTCCCAAAAGAACAAATGTCAACTACTCACTGCTCCACCCGCCTTCCCAGGGCCCCAGACCTTGTTGGTAGCATTCAAAAAATCCTTCATTGCACGCTTCCGACTCCATTGATATTGCGAGGAAATGACTTACCACAAGTTACCACATCAGTACCTCAGAAATCTCAACTCATTTTTTCAACTCATTTTTTCCTTTTTCTTTCCCTCTTTTTTGTAAGGCTTTCTGGTCTTAGCTCCAATCTATTCCAGGGAGCGACAGTCCAGTTCTTCCTCCACCACCAAGTTAACAACACAATAATGCCAATAACCAACATGGACGATTCCTCCCATTATGACCAGGGGAAAACCTGACAGTATTGAATACTTACAGTAACTTACTCCCATTATGCGGGTGTGAACAAATTCATCGGCCTAATCTGAGAAAAATTTTCACCTGCATAAGGAGCACCAGTTAAATCATTCATCAACTATATCATTCTTTCCATCCGTCTCCTTCCTCTCCGTCTGCTCCCATTGTCACTGGACCCACATTGTCCTCCTCTTCCCTTGAGTTTCTGGAGAACTGTGAATCCCGGACTCATTCAGAGGCTCGCCACACAGACTGTCGAAAGTCTAAAAGTTTCGACAGCTGTCAGAAAACTTTTGACAGTCGTGTGGTCGACAGTTTACACCCCCTTCGCCACACAGCGCTGTCGAAGGCGGAGGTCACTGTTCGTGTGCAAATGGACTCCGACTTTCGACAGCCCCTGTGTGGCGAAGGCTCTCACCTGTCGGGAGTTGTAAAACGCACAGTTTCCTCAGTTGGGAGCGGCAAGGAGTGACCCAGTGGAACCGGTTCCGCACGCGGTATGGGTAGAGAGGGAGCGGAGACCCGCGTCGGTATTGTATCCCGGGCGCAATTTTTCCCAGAAAGGGTTACCTGTATCTTGCTTCGAATTCCGGGTGGGCAGGTCCTTCGTTGAGTACCGGTTCTGGACAGGCGTCGTCGATTCGTGAGGTTCAGGACAGGGCTGGTGTTGTACGTGGACGGCTGGCATGCCTCACAGGATACACATTCGGGCGGTGTATGTGGCTGCCATTACTGCGGATGATTCATCCCCATTCCCGAACACCCTAACGCCGCACGACCCGCTTGCCACCACCGCCCTTCGCCTCACCGCAAGGTTCCGCCGGCCCGCCCAGTCCGCGAGGGGTGCGAAGCACCACGGATGAACGAATCATCCGCTTGAACAGGGCCAGAAACACCGCCTGGCAGCCAGTTTTCATCAGCCCGCTACTCGATACCACCCATTGCCGGTGAGGGTGCTCTCCCCCCAGTCCGCGCGCAAGCGGACCACAACAAGTGCTCTCCTGGGACCTGCGGGAACAGGATGTCCGAGGCCGCCACTCCGTTTTCAACAGCCTCTGTCGACCACAAACAGACAAACAGGGCACGACTGTCAGGGCTGAGGCTCTGACAATGGAAATTCGTGTGCGTTTTTCGAAAGGCGGCCGGCCCACTTTCGACTTTTCGGCTGCCACGGGCGGGACGAAAGGAGTGCTTGCGGGCGGCTGTCGAAGCCAGAATTGTGACACCTGTTGAAAGTGTTTTGAGCAGCCCATCTTCGAAAGTTGGTGTGGCAATGCAAAACTGTCGAGAACGTTGTTTTCAACAGTCTGTGTGGCGAGCCTCTCAGTCTCTAAAGCTCAGCGAAGAGTTTCTGATTTCTGCTAGCGCTCCTCCTCCCAAGCATGTTGAGAAACGTAAATCATCAGCTTGTCATGGTTTCCAACCAGACGTCAGGATCCTGATCCAGACAGTCTTGGTCTGGACATCCGGGTCCTGAGTCTGCTCCGGCAGGTCGGGATGGCCCCCCCTCCGTGAAAATTCGAAAAAAAATTGGGGGCGCCCAGGTCACTTTCCAGGTCCTGGGCGCCCCCGCAAAAATGTCTCGGCCATTTTTTGGCCTTAGGCCAAAGTGGACAGGCCCAGACGTCTCGGGGCATAGTCAGTGATGGTGGGTAGTCGGGAGGTAGCAGGAGGATTTGTTTTGAGACAACTGCGCCTGTGACCGCTGCACAGTTCAGAATTCACAGAAATAACAGTCCACTGCAAGATTGGCCGTGAGCAGTTTGAAACAGCAAGAAAAACAGTAAACTATGCGTTCGACGGCCTACCGGTTTATAATTGGCAAAAACGGGAGGTGGCCTGGGATAGTGGTACCTCCCTTTTTCCCCTGGCCTGGTGTTACATGCTGCGCCTGCACACGAGGGCCATTTTCCAAGCCCTGCGTCCCTCAAGCTGAAAGCCTGAAAACCAGGGCCTACAGGCCCCGTGTCTGTTCAGCTCGAAAGCCTGAAAAACAGGGGCCTACAGACCCTGTGTAGTTTCAGACTAAAAATGGCAGTAGCCTTTTTAGCCTGAAACGAAGGGCCATTTTCGGTCTGTCATCAGACTGACCTGCCCTGAAACTCAGGCACCGAACCAGGGTTTTAGGAACAGGCTATTTTTGGCCTGTTCCCACGACAGCTGCAGCGCCAGCCCCTGGCTCAGCTTGGCATTGGCAAGAGCAGCCTCCTGGACTGCCCGCCCGGCAACTGCAAGCAGTCGGAGGCAGTCAGGAGGCAGGCCGAGGTAGTACATAGGGACTTCCCATGCACTTCACGGGTAGGCAGGAGGCAGTCAGTAGTCTTCAGGATTCGGCAGCAGCACTCTGGAGGAGCGCTGCAGGAGTAGAGTAGCGTTAGCAGTAGTCTTCAGCGCTGGGCGCTAGTAGCGTTAGCTGTAGTCTTCAGCGCTGGGCGCCATAGCTAGAGTAGTACTAGAGAGAGAGAGAGATTGGGCGGAGGCCAGGGATACTTACCTGCAGCGC